CTAATTAGGAAGTCAAAGCACGAGTATTTTGTTGCTTACAGGCCCATAAGTGAATCCTCGGAAATAGAACTTACTGGCCACTTTCTTGTTGCAATTGTACAAGTGTTTGACTTAGACATGAATTATTATCGAGGTCAAAGGTACAATAATAGTGTGAACATGGCGGGAAAATTAAATGCGTTCAAGCCAGAATTTGAGTCAATATTCTCGGGCATTTTTCAATATATGTAGTTGAAGTTATTAGAACTTAAATTTGCTCATATTCGCGTAAAAAAAGTAAAATGATGTGTCCTACCCAGTCTGAACAGCACCTTCCGACCCCCTTCAAATGCAAGCACTATCCCCGTAGTCACCACTCCCAGTACCACCACACCCAACATCACCACATGAGGGATGACACACCACTCTCGATAATGCCAATATGACACGTGTTTCGCCTCTACACAAGGCGTCTACAGTTGAAGTAATTTCTGCAGTGGCTGAAGGCTAACTGAGTGGCGAGCGAAAACAGTTGCTATTTATACAACTCGCTGACCAACGAGTTGTAAAAATATAGTGTGTGGAGAGCGAAGATAGTGCTAGAAGTAGTGGTGATGGGATTAGTGCTGACGAAGATAGTGTCAGCCTGCGCAGAGTCTACTTCATCTGAGGATGCCTCGTGTAGAAGCGAAAGGATTGGCGCTGGGAGTGTGTTGCTGAGAGTGGTGGTGCTGAGAGTGGTGGTGCTGGAAGTGGTAGTGTAGGGGATAGTGCACGCAACTGAGGGAGGGTGGGAGAGGTGCTCTTCAAACTGGGCAGGACACATCATCGTATTTTAATACGCGGAATTGAGAAAATTAAGTTCTAACAACTTCAATGTAATTGATTTCCGCAAAGTAACGCCTGATTCTTTTAATTATCGAAAAAGGTAGGTATTTGGACGTAACAATCGACCAAAAACTAACAGAGCTAACTAGCAGAGCCACATAAAGTTCTTAAACTTATTCAAAATAATGATTGGCAGGATATTTTTCCCAAACGTGTGGACAGTACTTTGTATCTTGCTGATTATACCTGTACTATAACTGTCGCTAAGCGAATACGAAGTTTTATTCGTAGTACATTAAAACGTTTAAAATTTTACCTACGTTTCTACTATACGTCAAGAAAGACTATCACATCTTGGAATAATTTCCACAGAAAATTGTAGTGTCCAGAAGGAATTAATAAAAAAGTTGCAAGCGCATAAGCCAGAAAGCTGGCAATCAAGGCTTTTCATTAAGTTAGTTGTTGGTAGTTATTTTATCTTTTTTAACCTTGTCTGCAGAACAACAGTTTAAATAAAAGTTGTCAAACAAGATTATTAACTCTTATTGTGAGAAATAGTCTGTACAACTAGTCACCGCAGCCAGGCAAGCATAGTGGCGTCGTCAAGCGCAAGAGAGCAGTGCGAGCGGAATGGACAACATTATAACAAAGTTTCGATGATTTTCGTCCGAGAGGTTGGTAGTTTTGATACAATCCTATGAATTATATATTTGTTTTTGGGTTTAATACGTAATAGTTAGACTCTGTGCATTTAAAATACGGTCTAAATTCAATTAAAAGAACTTCGTCACTTTGCAACCACAGTTGTAAATAGCAAAGTTAAGGATTCTGTTTTTGCAACTGTGGTTGCAAGAAGCAAACGAGCGGTTAACTCGAATAAGTAGAACAACTGCTATGGCAAGAGCAACAGACACAACTGTGCTTGACTCGCGTATACACCTGTAGATATTAGACAGATCTAATACTATTTAAAAACACGGAAAATCAATTACATAGTATAGGAATACTAAGGTTTTTATATTTAGAGAAGCTCCACTATGAGATTTCGCACCATCTGATAAATTTGCTAGGGCCGTCACTGCCTACTTTGTGCGAAGTTGGCTGCAGGTGCCCATAGATTGCAGCAGTCACTTTGCATCAGGCGGACTGTAAATTCGTTTGTCGATTCAGTTTAAAAAGAAACGGTTTTGCAAGTGAGACCTGTTTTCCCTGGGTTTTGCTGTGCCCTTATGAACTTTAAATTTTTTGTGTACTTATTTTAATTTAGTGTTGGTCCATTCCTGTTTGTTTTTAAAAAGACGATGTTCTGCAGAGTTTTCTTAATTATTTCTTCTCTGGTCATAGGAAACTCATTTAAAAATCTCTACATAGTATAAAAGATAGCCGCTTCCCGCCGTCTGTACGCGTAAATCTTTTAAACTACGCAATGGATTTTAGTGCGGTTTTCATCAATAGTAAAGAATAGTAGAGAATTATTTTAGGCTTTACCTATGAAATTGCCGTTTTTTATGAAATAAGTTAACGTAATTTTTTTGCTGTATTTTTTATTTGTATCAATCAAAGTAATCACCCATGCAATCGATGTATCTTTGCCAACGCAGTGGCAGTTTATTGATGCCCTTCTTGAAGAAATCAGCTGGACTGGAGAAAACAAATTCTTCAAAGGCATTTTGTACTGCGTCTCGGGTATTGATTTTTTTCCCACCAAAAAGTTATCCAAATTCTGGATAAAATAGAAGTTTATAGGCGCAAAGTCTGGTAAGTACAGCGGATGATGGAGAGCTTCCAACCCCACCTCTTGTAACTCGAAAACCGTCTGTTGTGCAGTGTGAGGTCGCGAGTTGTCATGCAGGAGTAGCGGAGACGAGCGATTGACTACAGCTGGTGAGACACGTGCGAGCTTCTCTAGCACTGTGTTCAGTTCTTCACAGTACACATCTGCAGTAATGCTCCTCCACTTTGGTAAGAAGTTGTGATGAATCACACCCGCGCTAGACCACCAAACAGTGATAGTGATTTGCATTCACAATTGAACTCGGTACATAAAAATCACCCGTGCAAAGCCGGGGCGGATTGCTAATTATATTTAAAAACGATTAAATGTCTATTATTATATCTATTTTCACAATGAAATATAAACAACGTTGAAATCATTACACTACTATTACTATACTATATAAATTAAAGCTATGTTTTACTAAGTACAAAAACGAAGTTTTAATATTCGACGCGTAATGTTTATTTATTTATGTTCACCGATTTCTCGGAAACGGCTGACCCAATTTGAAATAATTTCTTTTATTAAATGGGCTAAATACACAAGTAGTGTTCTAATTATTGATACCATAATATGAAGAATTTTTTGTGGCTAAATGTGTAAAAATAAGGTATGAAGATTGTAATATAATATTTAGGACTATATTTAGTCATTACCTCAAATTTGTGATATTCCTTATATCACTTAAAAGGATAAAATAATATATTTAAAAAAAATGTGAGCTAATTTCAAAACTAAAAAATAAAAGGAGTTCAAAACCCGAGACTTAACAGAAGTTATTAGATTTTTTTTTAGTTTTTAGTCAATTTGTATTTTGTCTATTTTTTTAATTTTACTTAGTCACCTTGAGATTATCAAACGGATTTAACTATTCGTAACAAAAATAAATTTGCCTACGTTTACCGAAATAAATACGGAAAATGTGGTAATATTTGAAGAGTATCCAACAAAATGTAAGCAATGGATTTATTTTTATGCTTAATAGTACATAACGATACAAGGTACGTGTAAAGTTAGTTGACGCGGTTCAAAATCGGCTATTTAAGTGCCTTGTATCGTACATTATTTTACAGTACAAGTGACTTAAATCAACTTTTTGTAAATACAGAGAATCAAAAAATTTCTGTACAAGAATTACATCAGTCTAAAGATTTAATTAAACGGGACCAAAGGTGCAACGAGACTCGATTTACAGAAGTTTTGTATGATCCAGATGTTGGATTGTATGTAAATGATTTATCAAACCTGAATTCGCAACGGTCTTATTTTTTTAGCAATTGTAATGTGACGGTAAATGGTAGTAAGAGTGTTTTTAATAATTGTACTTTAAAAAATACAGTTCAAGCTTGACTTTATGCTAAGTATTTTTTTTATATTTCTTGATCAAATGATTAATAGTTTTGTTTGTAATTTAAAGTATTCTAATAGATGTTACTAATTAAAGTAAAATGTAAGTATTAAATTTTAAAAAAATTACAAAATATTATAAATTTTATGCGTGACTTGAGTAAATCATACCGTACAATAATCGGCTAGTTAAGTCCCGCATGAGCTTGTCTTAAATATGATTTTAAATTACCATGTACTATAAAAACACACGATAAGAATATACGATTATAATTATATTCAATATGATTTTTTTAATTCTTGACACATTTTAAATTCAATTTCGTTTTCTATAAATTGACCAATAAACAATTGTACCAACACAACTCAAGCTGAAACTTGCTTAGTTTTAAGTTAATAATTTTATTACCAAATGAACGAGTGTATTTTTATTAAACGAATAAATAAATATTATTAAGTATAAGCTTTTGTGATACGAAATCTTTAATTTTTAGTTCTTTCATGAGCCCGATGACAAATTTCTAATGATACTCAATTATTCCTTAGTCAAAAATCAAAGATGATATCTGCTAAGTTTAAAATCAAGAACTTAGTATTACTTTGAGCTTTCTATATGGTCATTCAAAATGAATATTTATCGGACTTGAAGAATTAAAACAATCCATAGCAAGTCTATTAGAGTTCTCGAGGCTATTATTTCGAGCTGTAAAGTGCGGATAAAGACGTCATAATCAATACGAACAATCGGCGATTGCAGTCGGTATTGAGGAAAACTGGCACGCATTTTCCGGCGCGACCGACGGCCGAGCCACCCCGAATATGCGCGAGTAGCGGCGGGGTGGAGGGGGCGACGGCGAGGGGTCTAAGGGGGCGAGGGGGGCCGGGGCAGCCGGGGGCTAGGGAGAGGGGAGGCGCTCGCCGGCCCCAGTGCCCCCCGGACGCAGCGGTGGCGTGACGCCTCCCCGAGCTTGCACCCGCGGAATGCGGCTCTGACCGTCTCCCGCCACCCGATATCGCCGTACACATGGACAACTCCTGCCTTCTCGACCTCCTCATCAGGTGCTTCGCGATGACCGAGCCCGAGGACCTCAATTTCACCGCGTTCACCGACCTCTGCCGCCTGTGCTCGCTGAAGAGTGGGCCCAGGCTTCACATCTTCGACAAGGAATCTGAACAGCGGCAGATCCTTTTCAAGCTTAGAACTTGCCTTCCAACTATGGTGAGTTGTATGTTATAATATGCCAGACTAAATTTATTTTATTACAAAAGACTCATACAACTAAAATATCAAATTAGGCATTTGAAAAAAATTCATAGTAATAATAGAGTTGTTGAGCGGAAAGTGCAGTGATAGCTACGAATGTCGCGTCGAGCTGTTGTCGTAGCCATGTAGCGCGTGCGCGCTACGCTGCCTGCTACAGACGGCAGACCTGGGATAATGAAGTCACGATACCTGTTGACTATCGCAGAGATTTATGCTTGCCCCTCAGATACATTTTAAGTGAAGGAAAAAAGCGAGCTCATACAATTTAAGAGCTTTTTGTTTTTAATTTATTTTAGTTGTTTTTATGCAAAAATAAATATTTGAAATACGCTAATCCTATACCAAATATACGTAATATGTAAATATATCGATTGTATACAGATTATAAATGCTATAAAACTCATTCACTAATTATATTAAATAGAAATAAATTACACTGACCACTGTACCTAAACTATAACATTTCTCTAACTTGAGAACAAGTTATTTAGTACTCAGATACGACACCAGACTAAATTAATTTGAAGGATTATATATTTATTATATACAATAGTAGCTGGCCGACTGAGTATTAGAAGAAAAAAATAATTTTCTCAGGTATGACACCTATTTGCATAAACATGGAAAGTAAAACGTCAAAATGAAAAATTTCATCCAATTACTTTGGATCGTTCCTGAGAAACCAATTAAAAACTATATTATATATAAATGTACATACATACGAGAAGTCGTCACGTAATGTGTAAATTATAATATATTAATTAAGATTGTAAGAATACATCTCTCTTTTTGACCCTAACATATTAATTGTTAAACGACATCGTAAAGGTCAACTTCTTTTTTATTTGTTCATATAAATAAAAGAATCTATAAAATCATTGCGGGTTGATCTTTTGAAACCGAAACTATCTTTTTATAAGAACGTACTTGTCCTATGGCCTCCTAAAAATTGCATAAAACATGTAATATCTTCGTTCAATTTACACTACAAATATAAAATGGTTGAACATCCGTTTGAAGAGGGTTTATACCACAACAACAATAAATAGCATAGTGCGCGAACTATTATCCCATGTATTTGTTATGACTAATCGAATTACTTATCACATAGGTTTATTAATTTAATAGTACGGTTTATTGATGAAGTGTGGTGACATCAAAGACAACGTATCTTTTCAAATTTATTTGGCTAATCCATAAATAAGTGAAGTCGTGTAGTGGTTGGTGGTGTAAGAATACCCACTACCTCAAATCGTCTCGTGGCTGTAGTAGCAGGCAGCAGAGTGAAACTGAATCAGGAGATGGGCAGCAGCATTTTACAGATAATAATTAAAAATTAAAAAGAACTGCGGTGTCCAATTAACCTGTTAAGCGTGGCAACTATGGCAAAGTACCTCCTATGGTTCAGTGTATGGGGGTCAGTGTATGGCCAATGGTAAACATGGGTCATGTTTAGCATTGGAATTTTATAGGATGTAATGTAATGGAATGGAAGTGCCTCTTAGTCTTATTAGTTGATGTATATCATTATATTCCCACAGGCCCTCACTCGCCAACCACAGTTCCAACCACGTTTAACCAAGTTCTTAAACAACGAATTTTTTCATTCTATGCGCATGTTTTTTAAGTCAATATTGTTTATTTTTCAATCAAATAGTGTATAATTTAGAGATGGTCCTGAATTTCAGTGCTGTATCAGTCTCAGGTCACCACGAGCTCAAAGTCAATCGAACGTCGACAAATTATCAACGGGGCGTCAGTGAATACAAAAACAACTTAGCGTCAAGCGTCTACTTAGATAGAGTTTAGACCTATTACATCATCAAGTTTTGTTTGTTTTTTACCATTATAAGCTAGTAATTGACTACTACCTACCTTAATGGTAAATGGTCGATACATCCGAAGATGGTAAAGCTTAATTAAGCTAAGACTGTTGCGTAAAAGCCTATTCGCTCTTGAGCTCTTGACCTAACATCGACACTATAGTCGTATGGAAAGACAGATGTTATAAAATTAATCCACTTTTTGTTGTACGCATTACGAACAACGAAGCAAATAATTTGGTTCGAATAAGATATAATGTAAACATGTACGACAGTAAAATCGTGAAGACTTGCTGAGCAACTGGTTGAATGATGATGGAACGGAAACAGAGAAATTCAGTCATGCCATTCCCGCGCACACTCTCCGAAAGGTATCCTGTAAAACACCGAACGGTGTTTTTTATATTTCCACCTAATGCAGCCTTATCACCTGGTAAGGTTGATTATTAAACACTAGTTGTGAGTGAATGGCGAGTGGGCAATGTTTAACAGGTTGACCCTTAACTAGATATGGGTGTGCAGAGGTGCACGACGTATGTGTGCCATGCAGTCCACGCGCCATACACTATATTAAAGGTTACAGCCTTTATACATCCCACTGTTGGGCACAAACCTCCTGTCGTTTCTGAGAGCGTTATGCAAAAATTACTCCAACGCGCTGCTTGGACGTCAACGGACGGATGGCGTCAGTCTATCTTGCGCGTTGACGGACGCCGAGCACATGGTAAAACAACACGTAAAGTTGAACTTATTTTCAGATTTATATGCAGAATTTTATTGATGCAGGCGGGGATCGAACTCGAATCGGCTGCATACTCTAAAATTTACAACAAGCGCTTAGCTACCACGGCTAATACGCTACGTACTTTCATTTAAATTTAGAACAATTATCTACAGGTACGTGATACGAAACAAAAACTCTCATTTGAAATGGACTGAATCGTGGTAGGGTTTCTCATTACTAGGCTCCGGTTGATTATAAGACATTTAGTCTAACAAGACAAAACATATCATCATCATCATCATTACAGCCCCTTACAAATGAACTGCTAAATCCTCATCCCCCATAGATTTTCACAAAATAAGGTCAAGCAATACCTACATCTATGGACGATTTGCATGTTTCATCAGGTCGTCAATACATGTAGTGAGGGGTCGACCAATACTTCGATTGCCAGTAATAGGTTACCACTCAAGCACTTTCCTGCTCGAAAAACCGGCAACTAATAGGGCTACAGAGTTATATAGTCAAGGCTAATTAATATTAAATTCTTTATTTAACGTATTTTATAAAGTTTAACTTAATTGTAAACTCAAATATAATATATATTTCATTCGCTAATTACAGCTTATCGAAATCCATCCAATATATTGCCACATAGGGATTATTTTTGCCATTGTTGCCACGTTTGGCAACCATAATATTTATTATTTTGAATTGTTTTCATGACGTTGCTGCTGTCGGTCTCCTGTTTCATTTCACCTCCATTATTTCCACGACACCTACAAAATGATATGGCGTAGCAAGGTCTCTAACACTACTTTACACGGGTACAATACATAAAATGCAGCGAAAACGCGCCATATATTAGGGTTTAAACTTATTATTGCGATTATTGTTCTTCACACATTATCTAACTAGTTATATTGTGCGGTAAATCCAGCAGATATCAAAGGACGACTTTCTGCCGAAGAAGATCTGCGAGCGATGCGTCACTCGCCTGGAACAGCTGTACGAGTGGCGTCAGAGCTGCATGAGTACAGACTCCGTACTCAGGAATTATGCGGAGTCCATGAGGATTGTCACGTCTACCATCAATTTTCAGGTTAGTTGTTTGTTGTTAGATCTTCAGGTTCTATCATCATTATCACTAAATCGTAAAATAATTTTTAGATTTTGTTCTCCTGAAAGTCTATTATTGTTGCTGCTTAATTAAATACAATGATGTGTCTTACCTGGATTGAAGAGCACCACCCTTCCTCCCTCAATTGCATGCACTAATCCCGTCACCACTAGTCCCAGCAGCGACTAGTGGTGACGGGATTAGTGCAGTGCAAATTAACGCCTGATTCTATCAATTGTTTTAACATGTCATTAACTGTGTAGCGGCGATGTAACCACTACCCCATATCGTCCCGTGGGTTTCGTAATAGGCGACAGTGGAAAACTGAAACAGGAAATGGGCATCAATATCTCCCTGATATCAAGGCAAAATTATAAAAACTGTGATTGGAAACGCACCCGCCAAACGTGGCAACTATCAGGGAGGCCTTTGTTCAGCAGTAGACTTTTGTAGTCTTTAATGGATGGATGGATAGACAACAGATGTCAGGAAAGCCATTAAGTTCCGACGGTTAAAAGATGCAAAATTGTCCAAATTCAAAATACACTAGTGACTAGAAGCGGGACTTATTCAGTAGCCAGATGTTAAGGTAACGGCAAATAATCGAACTACTCTTTTTCAATAGGTTACCGTGATATCGAAGAAATTTTGAAATCAATTATGTCCTCTAAAAGTAAAATTCTGATCTAATTAAATTTTGAATAGTTTTCCGAAGGTTTCAATTACAAAAAAATTATATTGAAACAACAAAAATAAGCAAACCTTATTTTTGGCTTTAATATCTAAAAGGAAGTAAATAATGTTATCATTATTATCATTACAACATCTGTTCACAAGTACACTGCTGAAAATAGTCCCCCCCCCTCTCTCAATAAAATCCGTGAAACTAATTTCATTCCATAGAATTATTATTTTGTTACATATGAAGCGTGTATTCAAAAAACTAAGTGTAAATAGAATAGAAAATCGATAAAGAGATTGAACAAGATAAGGCGCCACATGTTGGACCTTTAATAACAATTAAGTAGTGACAGCACCCAATGTTCGATGTCCGTTTGTAGTTATTATTTATTGACATTACATTGTTTTATGTGCGTTGTTCATCATTTTATTATTAGAACTTACAGTCCACCTAATGTTAAGTGCAGTCCCAGCTTCAAACAGAAGGCTTCAGTTGTGCTGTCACCTTTGAGAACTAAGATGAAATCAAAGATTTTACTATAGCTTTAGCTTTAGCTTGCTTGTATGTATACTGCCGAGAGCCGTGGTAGCTCAGATGGTTATTGCTCGCTATAAATATAATAGAACGCAAGTAACCCGGGTGCGAGCCCCGCCGGCACCAATAAAAGTGTTAAAAAAATATTTCGAAGACATGTGAAGTTCGCCAACACGCATTGGGACAGCGCGGCGGATACTTCCTTTCCCTAAAACCCTCTCAGAAATGAGGGGAGGCCTGTGCCCAGCAGTTGGACGTATATAGGCTGTAACTTTACTTATGTATACTGTCTCTATATATCGGTTCTCTCCACTCACAATACGAAACATTAAGTTGCTATTTCACGCTGGTATTTTGTGAGAGCTTGGTCCTTTCCTGAACGTGCTGACCCACTAGTACTACAGTTATAACATAGCTGCAGCTTCTATCTATCACGTTATAAAACTTTGGTTTAAGTGTTAATAAGCTACCATCAGTTTGCTACGATCGTGCCTCGTCTACAAACACGAGCACAAACTCGTAAATCAGTGTAATAAAACCCAATTAAACTTACTAAAAGCAACCTTAAATGTTCGATATATCTCAACACTGACTTTAAAGGCTATTTTAGCACCGACAAGATTATGTCTTAGCATCGAATACATTACATCGTAGCACCGATTTCAGAAGAAATTATGTAGTAATTGTTTTTCTTTTTAGTTCCTTGAAGCCGGCTTTTAATATAAAATTTAACTTTACTTAATTTTTAAAACCTTTTGAGTGGACTAAATAATTTCATGCGTTAAGAGTAACAATTAAAATGTTTTCTAAATACTTACATTAAAAACTTCAATCTCCTAACAGACACAAATACTCTGCTCAATAGGCTTAAATCTCTGCATAGTATAAAACAAAGTAGCTTCCCACCGTCTGTACGCTTAGAACTTTTATCACTATTAAATAAATAAATACAAATGTCAGTTATTTAAATGTGAACGCCTCTTCCTGCAGGGTAAAGGCCTCCTCCATTTTTGACCACTGTTTTCTATCTTTCGCCTTTGTTTACCAATGTAGAGATTGTGTTTATTTTTCTTATTGTTTATAGTGTTGTTCTGTATTATTTGGAGGGTTATAGCTGGCTGTACATAAAAACAATTACGATTATAATATTAATGATATGCGGTTAAGATATCATCTGACATTACTAGTGATTTTTACACGTGGTAAAGTCATATTGCAGCTAAATTATTGTGGCACGAATGGGTCAGCTGGACCGGGGAAGGACTACGCTTTCATTGAATACCACAGTGTAATAACAGATAAATGTTGCCCTGTTTTGAATAGGATGTGAGTATATATGTAAGTGCAGAGACCCTTTAAAGGGCATTCCATCTTAGTCCTCAGGGATGACAACGCATCTGCATTTCGATTCTTAATCTAGGATAGATGTATGAAGTTGTTATGGGCCCAATATCCACTTACCATCGGGTGGACTGTGTGTAGTAAATGAGATTATAGTCCTACTAGTAAATAGCTCCTGCAGTTCATGGGAGCCTGCAACCAAAATTAAACAAGAAAGCAAAGATTCTGGAGGGGCGGCCTCGTACTGTCTGGTATAGTATAGAAACCTTCGCTAGAAGATTGAAAAAATATCCTGGCAGTTGGATAAAGGTGGCTCAGCACCGTGCATTTTGAGGGAGAGATTATGATGTAAGTGTGCAGTGGCTTGGCAATGAGTGGCTGCGCTGGGGGTCGCGGGTTCGAATCCCGCACGGAACAAGTATTTGTATGGCCTACAAATAATTGTTCCGGGTCTGGATATTTGTCCTTGTGCAATTTATGTTTGTAAACTGCCTCCACGATACAGGAGAAAATCCTTCAATCATCCCCCTCCAATCAATCATCAATCCTAACGTTTTTTAAAATAAGAAAAAAAGAAGAACTTTTAAAATGCTGCTTTTAGTTTAAATTTTAATCGATATTAACAGTAGTTCCTAAGCTGTATATTTTGTTATTAACTCATATGAATTTTTTCTGAAATTAGCTCAGTTTGATTTATCGTTAGTAGATGCTGTGACCTCTAGACAGGTCTATTCTCAAATAAGAATCAAAATACAGATACGTTGTCACTTTCTAAGATGGAGTACCTCTTTACCATTAAAAATGGATCCCCGGTTCTCGTCTCTCTCAATACGAAACACAGCAATATTACGAGTATGATGCTGTTTTAGAGAGAGCCGTGGTAGCTCAGTGGTTAACGCTCGCTGTAAATATAACAGAACGCGAGTAACCCGGGTTCGATCCCCACCAGCACCAATGAAATTGTTAATTGCAATTTTAAGTGCTGATTTACCACGTGCTCGGCGGTGAAGGAAAACATCGTGAGGAAACCTGCATGTCTGAGGAATAAGAAAAAAAATATTTCGAAGACATGTGAAGTTCGTCAACACGCATTTGGGCAGCGCGGCGGACACTTCCTTGCCCTAAACCCTCTCAGAAATGAGGGGGAGGCCTGAGCCCAGCAGTGGGACGTATATAGGCTGTAACTTTGCTTTACTTTTTTTACTTTATGCTGTTTTACGCAGGTGATTATGCGAGAGTGTGGTCCTTTCTTGGTTGAGCTTACAAATTAGCTCTGCAAAGTATAGCGACAGTATGGCTCTCCCATAATATCCTCCAGACCGAATTTCGATCACGGCGGCCAGCCTCAACGGAGACTAGCTATAGTCCCTACGTCCGATGGGACGGTAAACAGACGAACCGGAGAGAGATCATACGCAGATCCAACGGGGGTGAGACACCGCCAACTTCATGACTCCGGGCAGCTACTGAGAGTTTCTTGACGGAAAAAGTCAATAACCGATATTTTTATGGTACGACCCTGGATTTAAACCCGGGACCTCATGATCAGCAGTCGCGTTTACAACCACTAGACCAACGAGGCAGTCAGCTAACTCAGGCTGTCCCATATAAAAACAATATTATGTGGACTATAACAGTAAATGTCACACACTTTTTTGTTAACAATAGTAATTTTCTATCCCTACGACTCTTCCTCCATTTGAAAATAATACTTAATACCATTTTGAATAAACATTTGCTATTTAAGTTCGATCCTTATAATGTTAGTTGCTTTCATGTTTCGTTATAAATATTTTAATAGCTTGACGTGCACGATTATACGTGGTAGAGCCACGCTGCAGCTATTATGGTTGTAACATGAATGTGTCGGCTCGACCAGGACGAACCAAGCTCTGACAGAATACCAGCGTAAAATAGCAGCTTAATGTTGCTTTGTTTCGTATGGTGAGTATAGAGAACCGGAGACCATTATTACTGGAGTCGAGGTATTCCATCTTAGACCTCAAAGGTGACAACGCATCTGCATTTTGATTCATCATTATTTCAGCATCCACTTACCATCAGGTGGACTGTGTGCTCGTTTTGTCACCCTTATCTATATTAAGTATATATATATATATATATATATATATATATATATATATATATATATATATATATATATATATATAATAATGTATATATGTATTTATGTATTGATGCGTTAATGCAAGTAAGTATGTGTGAATGTGTGTTTTTTTTAATTCAGTGTTCACCCACGTCCGGACGCCTGAACAATGTGAAAATTTGCAGACGTGTGAAGTGATCGCAGTAAAATAATTCCATGACCTCATATTTTCACTTGGATTATGGCAACTTATAATTAATGCGTGTTGTTTTAGTTTTTTAAATTCTAATTTTGTCGATTTGTTCAAAAGCTGAATTC